GCCAATCCCATTAGAAGATTGTGGCTTGGTGTGTGGCGGAAACGAAGCCGATGAGCCGGGGTATCAATGTTTACAGTCGCGGCCGGATGGATGCCAAGCAGACGGTGCAACGATGATTCGGGCAAGAGCCGCGCAGTGGTAGAATGGGCCATACTGCTTGCGCACCCCATCATCATTCCGATTGGGCGAGCCATACGTCTTGGCGGAATAACATTCCTAGTTAGGCAACGCAAGTGTTTCCTGAAACGGGCCGAACTTAATCTCTACGTCATTTAGGCTTTGACAAGACTGCTGAGTCGAGGCTACAGTTAGCTTCCCTACGCTAACCAATCAGCGTCTCGCACTGCCATTACCGGTGGGGGCACGGCTCGCGGTCGCCAACGCGAGCTAGCGCTACCAGATATGCCAACAATCAAGTCAATCAATCTGAGGCAGCTAATTGAGCTTGATTGAAGTTTTATGAGGTCGCGATTGAGATTGACTTAATTAAAGCTGTTTTAGAGTCGTAATTGATTGAAGATTGATGCTCTTGATCATGTTTGGTATGCGATCCAGCGCGATTTTGTATAGCTACCTCTAGTCATTGTTCTCCCACTCCCATATATTGTAGATTCTGATCATCTCCTGATCAGTAAGACTATCTTCCTGGTTATGAGGAGGCTTGAAACCTGCTCTTCTCCAACTCCGAGTACATCGGATAGCCGCTAGCAGCTGGGATCCGATCTTCCGCCTGCGAGGCTCTAATAGGTCGCCAAGCTCGCTGAACAGGCGCTCACATTGACAGCTGCTAGCTGGTATAGTGAGCAGGTCGATGGCTAATCGCGATAGATTTGGATATCGCGATCGCAGGCTAATCCAATACTTGATTGGATTGCCCTCCTGCTCAAACTGCTCCTTTGTCCACGCTGGCTCATATCGCCGCCAGCGATTAAGCTCATCTATCTTTGATATATCCACCTCGTTTTCAGGCTCAACGTTGACGAGCGCAGCAATTGCGTCGTCAATACCGCCTGATCGCGGCGGCCTCGGGCGCGTGATTGGCAGCGATATAGGCTTGTATCGCGCCCACAGTTGCTGCAACTCTGCCTCGTTTGAGACAATCCAGTGAGGCTTCTCACGCCAGCTGTTTGAGCAGTAGTTCTTGTAGTATGGGTGAAGGCAAGTTGCGCTATAGTAGGCGGGCGAGGCATCGAGCTTAGTGTAGTAATCGTTGGCCTTGCGCCAGGCAGCATTGAGGTTGATCGCGAGGTGATCTTCTGGAGCCTCAGGATGAACGTTAAAGTCAACGTGATCGTAGGTCCTGAGTATCGCCTCGTAAGCTCCAATGACGTATTCGAATACTGGGATAACATCGTATATAGCTCCAAAGCTTCCTTGTTTACCGCGCGCCTCAAGGCGTTTTGTGGCCTCCTTGAGCGGCTTCAACACCTCAATATACTCAGTTATCACCGCCCAATCTGCTGCTTTTAGTCCGTTAGATCGCATCCAGGATGGCGCGTTAGGCAGCTTGTTACCACGCGATTGCGCATATGCGTCATCGCGCGCGATGCGGTTGATATGAGTGTTAGCGTATAGGTTGAAGGTTTCTGATAACTGAACTGCGCGCTCAAAGGCATCGTGATAGCTGTTCCATCGCGTGATAATAGGCTTAATTGGCTCTAGTATTGTTTCTGTGTGCGATCGATCGTTAACTGAGCGCTGAAGCGATGCGAATAGATCGTGTTGCTGAGGCGTTTTGATATAGTTGATGATATCGACTAGTACTCCTAGCGGGCCGTCTCTTCGCCAGTCTCGCAAGTATCGCGCCTCTGTATTTTGCTCGTTACTGCTATCGCCGTTGTACGCCTCCTTGTCAAGTCCAAACATAATTGTCTGGCCTACAAGGTTAAGCGTGTGAGGCGCGCAGCGGAGGCGGCGATAAGGAGCTTCGAAGTCGTATAACTCGCTGAGTTTGGCGACAGCTCGATCGTTTGAGGATGCGTTATCAAGAACAAAGTAGCCTAGCTTAGAGCGATCAATACTAAACTGTTCCAGCGTCTTCGCAACTATATCAGCAATCCTATCACCGCTATGAGCGCCGGTAAGCTGCGGTAAGGCAATAGGCAGGTCCCTAACGTTACCACAGGCGTCAGCGTAATGAGCAACAATACCAAAGAACCCTCGTTTGCCACCCTTTGTCGTCCACCCGTCAAAGCTAATATGGATTTGACTAATAGATTGCGACAAATTGTTGACAACCTGCGGCTCGAGGTGGCAATAAAGCCTCATAACAAAGCTCGCAACGCTGGTACGACTTACCCATAGCGCTTCTGCTGCCTCTGGATTGGCGTATGCTATCATCTCACGGAAAGCTGGAGTCTCAAACTCGCGAAGAGCGTGGTTGTTATCAACTAACCAGCTAACAGCAGCGTATCGAAAGCCTTGTACGTCGAAGTTTCCAATCTGATTAGCGACTTCCTGCGATACAGCAACACCGCTATCGCTTAGTAATCGCAGGGACGTCTGACCTCGAGGTAGCGCAGCCTTAGCAAGCTGGCCCTGACGGTTAAGGCGGTGGCCAACTCTGTTCTGTGCCATGTGAGTTATCGCAGCAGTTGTTGATAGCGTCACCTCTAACGCTTGCTTCCCCTCGAATCTCTGATGTTTATAGCAATGCCTGCAGATCCAGAAAGTTCTCTGCGGATCAGCTATTAAGGCGATGCGATAGCCGTGCTCGAAGACCCAGCTTTTCCTGCCCTTAAGCGTCCTTAGCGGCTTCATAAACCGCGGTATATGAGCCCAATCAAGGCCATCGTGCCTATCCTCAAACCGACTATCGAGTTCGGCTCCATCGTAGCTATCAGACGCCTCAGTCGAAGCCTCTGTAGCAGCTCGTGAGCCCTCGGTTGGCGGATCGATCGCGTTATCGGGCAGCAGGTCGCGCAGCTGCGATTCGAACGGAGCCTCTTCCGTAGCTTGACTAGCTGCAACCTCAAGGGCTTTGCGTGGTGAGGTTCGTACGGGCAGCTCAGACTGCGATTGAGAGTTGTTGACTTTGACACGTTTATTTGACGCAGCAGCGCGATCAGCAGCGCGTTTGAAGGCCTTCGGAGGCATAACAGACAGTAATAGCGCGTAAGGAGACTTAGAAATAACAACAGTGATGGGCGCTAACATAAGATATAGGCTGTTGTTGAACGTTGATACTACGTTGCAGCGTAAGCTAGATTAGAAAGTTGCTTACTAATCAAAACTCAACACCAATAATATGTCACTCCATCCATATTATCTACTGCCCAGCAATCTCATTAACTACCTTGCAAGTCGCCCTGCTATTAGTACCTGATCAATCCAATCAATCAATCCAATCAAAAACAGGGCTTCGATTTGTTCTTGATTGAGAAAACACTATAGGCGAATTGATCTTGACTTGATTGAGCTTTTGATCAAGAATCAATCAAGTCAATCAAAAAACTTGCTTGTTGGCATGTCTGAGCGCTACTCTATACTTACATTGACTTATTTGCCGAGGGTGCCCTACATCTTCCGCAATCTCTCGAAAATAGTTTAGTAACACCTTAGGCTTAGCAAGCGCAATAGGCCTCACAATGCCGACGCAAGTAAGCACTGACGATTCATGGCATAGATACAATGGTTATTCTATAGAGAAGGACCGAATGATGCCAAATACATCAGCGATTACGACCAGGCAACCAAATAACAGAGGTTGCCGCTAACTATGGCGCAATTATGTCTCCGAAGGCATCAGATACTCATATACGCAAGTATAGCTTGTGGTAATCTGGGCCACAATTTGCAAAGCATTTGTAAGAATTTCGAATATAACCCGAACGGAGCGGTAGATTCCTAGAGTCCGCTCCGGCTTCCGCTTCGCTTCGGACTTCTCATCTAAGTGCCTTGCTAAGCATAGCACTTTAAACGTACCTTCTGCAGCCCCTTATATTCGTCCGATAGATACAAAGCTATGTATAAGAAGTGAAAAGATTAGTCTTTTGTTCACTAAATTTGAAAACGTCTGACCAACCTGACAATAAGAAAATTAGAGACAGCGTGTCTCGCGGCGAAATTGTCTTGTTTACCTACAAGACCTTGTAGCAGTCGACTAGCAAGTGAAGCTCGAACTTATTTAGCTTACAGACTGCGCAAAGCAACACTACCTTCGCAAAGTCGACTGTAGGATCTGTGTGCTTGCGACGGCGCAATATAGAGTATGTTCTCGCTTTGTTTATCTACAGTTCTTGTCGATTAGAACAGGAGTAATCCTAGTTCGAAGAGTGACACCTAGTACTATACTTAGGTAATTATAGTTGAGTAGTAGGCACAACATCTTAGACAGCGCAGCCGTGGTTTGATTAGAGCCTTGTATAGTGTGATAGGCTAGAGACCAGTTAGTGAATCCTCGATGATATCTCGGTCACGTGCGCGAGGCGCACTGTCCACAGAATCCGGGTGCCCCCTGAGCACCCGGATTCTGTGCAAGCGAGCCTAGCCGAAGGTTATCCCGAGCCGCCGCCCCCTGAACGACCTTCAGAACCCTAGCTACCTGTAGTTCT